GCTTCATTGGATGGATAATAAAATTATTTACAGACTTTAGAGGCCTCTAAAGTCTGTAAATAATTTTATTATCCATCCAATGAAGCCCTACCTAGGGCTGGTAGTCAGGAATTTCCCCCTTCCTCTCCACAAGTTCTAGCTCTGCCACTGACTTACTTTGTAGCCCTGGGCAAATCTCTCCATCTTGATTTCCCCAGCCGTAAAGTGAAGATAACAATTCATAGCTCCATGGGGATATGGATTAATGCATGCTTGTTACAGGGACTTTGAAAACATAAAGTACAATTGCCACATCTTCTAAGAAACAAGTTGGTTTTCTGGTTTGGTGAGGTAGTTAGCAATTGGCTGGGCAGCTAACTAGTCTAGGTAACAATCAATGGCCATTTACACTGGAGAGGAGATTATGCTAGTATTGTTTTCTTTCAGCAACATCAAGATATGAAGTTTTACTATAGATAAGACATAAATGGAACAGCTGTGTTTAATAGATCTGGTTCCAGTATCAGCATCAAGTTAGGCTGGGATTTAGGAATTCAAATCCTGAATCAGTGGTACTGATTTTCACAATTAATGACTTTCTTTCTACATTTCAATCCCAAAATAATAAAGTCTGTTTAGGTTATCTAATCCTGCAAGGTACCCATCGTACTGGGCTGAATTTAAAGAGGATCTGGAAAACAAGCTCCTTCTGGTTTTGCATCTGGTCTGTATCCAACACTGTACAAGGTATGTTAGATCTGTGAACCCACTCCTAATCATGGAAAATATGGCACTGGATAGTGAGAGTCTACAGCCGAGTGTAGGTGGCTATTATTTAGATTCATTTTTGATAAACCTTGCTCATAGAGTGATAAACTCTGTGTCCTGACCCAGACACATGCAACTGACCTCAGTGAAAGTATGCATAAAGAAGATGGTATTAAAGTGGCTGAAGGGGCTGAGATTTGGCCCGTTGCTATTTTATTACTTTGCAGTATATTCATTATTTTCACTACTGGTCTAACAAGGGTAGAGAATGTGTTCCCTGTCCATGGTGCTGAACGGCCCTTTGTGTAATTCCTCTATGCTTCCTGGAATCGTTCTGAGGAACAGACTGTTGAACAGCACACTCGAACCCGTAGAACTACGCTTTTTTTCTAATTTTATAGTCAATGGATGTTGTAAGAGACAGAAACATATAGAGAAAAACCTTAGAATGGCTGCATTCATAAAACAGTACTGTGTTTCTCAAAGCATGGCCAAAGGGTGAACAGTCATTGTAGGAAACATCCCAGTCCTGGTGTTCTGTAGAGTGGTGTTAAAAACTGGAAGAGGAAGTGGTCTCTTATAAGATTTTTTTCTCAGTTTTTTGCAGTACTGAAAACTGAAGAATTCTTGCTCTGGATAAATACTTGCTGGCTCAGAAGAAATACTTGAAGTGATATAGACAAGAAGTAATGAAATCAGGTTAGAATCAATGAGATAATTGTTTTGGAATATATCTGTAATAGGGACTTCTAGACCATATCTGTTCTGAGAGAGATTTCAAGGTTGTCTACATAGGGCCTGCTCCAGGCTTTCTCATAGTGTAGCAGCATTTACTCTAATGTAGGTAGTGACTAGGACTGGCTGGGCAAGGAAGCTAGGACTGGGTTAATAACCTTGAGAAATGAACTGTGAATGGAACTTGGTAGATCAGGAGAATGGGACTAGGGCCTGAGTAAGAGAATAGTCAAGAGTGAGACAGAAACAGGTTGGAGGGAAAGGGGCAAAAGGGGTCATGTGTGGACAGAGTGTGCAGAAGAGTCTGCAGCCACTACAGTCCATTCACCATTCAGACCTGAAAATGGAACCCATAATTCTCAAGTGTCAGCACTCCTCTGCAATTGGCAAATAACTTGAAAGCCTAGTGCCCATGCACATACAGGATGACAACCAGTATTGAAGGTTGTTGCCGCTATTGTTTACTCTGATCACTCAAGTGGCAGAGGTCTGGGAGATGGATCTACAGGTTCCAACCCTGCTGATGAACCAAGTGGGGGTCAATATGATTCCTATGCTCCTCTGTTTTTGTCAGATCCACAATCCTACACTGCTTAAGTATGTTAACAGAACAGGGTTAATATTGCACCTGACATTATTAAGGTTAAGCACTCAAAAGTTAAGAAAATGTCAGAATCAGAAGCGTCTGTGGAACCCATGCTGGACCCCATGTGGCTATATTTTCTGAGTCTTTAATTACATGGTCACATACAACTTGTTCTGAAGTTCCACTACCTCATTCAGTGCACAGGATGGTCCCATTCTAGGGCTGAATTACAGTTGAGTAGTGAAGGGGGCTGTTTTATATAGGGCTCCTGCCTCATTTGTTGGAAAAGTTGGAAGTGAATGAGGCAGGAAATTACAGGATGAGGGGAAATGGTATTGTGATTATGGCAGCTGAATTCTGTCCTAGAGACTGTATTCTAACCCTGCTTGGACTTAGAGTACATATGACATTCCAGGCAAATTGCTTTTCCCCAGTGGTCACTAACTATGTGTTCCTTATTTCTGGGTGCCCAATTTGACATCTTGGACTATGATTTGCAGAAATGTTGAGGTTTTACAATGGTAACTGAACTCAGTAGGACCTATGCTCTGAACAAATGAAATACCACATGGTCCTAAATATTCTTAAAAACAAAAAAAACCCAACAACCCAGAAAAAAACACAAAGCAAAAACCAAAAAAACAAAAAAACCCAACAACCCCAGGTGACTCAAATTGGTCACTGAAAATTAATTACCAGTACCTTCATTTCTCCATGTCTTAGGTGCATACCTGTAAAATTGGGATAATAATGCCCCATCATTTCATAGACATGTTTTGAAAATGAACTGAAAGCATTCAAATACTGTAATCATCAACACCTTTGGAAAGCCCATAAGGAAATTAATAACTTTGTATTTCAGGGCAGGATTTGAACGGTGTGGTATAAAGAAGGCTGGCAGACACTGATTGAACAATGTGGAGAAAACACAATAGTGAATAAGCTTCTCATTATGTGAGCCCTATCCAGCTTGTGCACTAAATTAGCCGGGATCCTATGGAAAAAATAGTATGAGATCATGTAATTAAAGACTGTATCATAATGCAGATGCAGCAGGGGGGAAGATTGAAGTTGCACAGCAAACCTTAATTCTGGAGGTTCTTGACTTTTGAGTTGTTGACTTCACAACCTTAATTATTTTCTATTAGTGTGGTGTGTGTATGTGTGCACGTGTGTCTGTGATGAGGAAAGATGCTATCAACTGATGCCAGAAAAATTAACCTTAGATATGAAAAGTGCTTCTTTTCCTTTCATATTATTGGATTATCTGTTGTGTAGTTGGATAAATCTTTTTTATCAAAATTTTGAAATTTCAGTGAAAAAGGGAGTTGAAATTTCCTAATGTTGATTTTTTAAAAGGGGAAATGTTTAAATAATATTTTCACATTTTTTCTTTTCCATTTTGATCAAATATAGCAACGAACAAACACTGATGACAAAACAAAACAATAATGAACAAAATGTCATAAAAATTCCTCTATACCCTTTTTCCTATCTGCTCTAAAGTTCAGTGTTGATATCTAGAATGAGTGATATCTCAGGAGGTTAGTGGTGTATCTTTCTGTTAACCACATTAAAAATGCTTTTTTTGGAGCCAGGGTGAAAGTGAACATCTTTGTTCTCCTGAGTCCTTAGTTACTTGACTAATGAGAGTGTTTGGATTGATGATAAATCCTGTGTAATATATTAATGAGTTTCTGGCTTAAACAGTGTAGTAAAGCTGATGAAGAAAGCTACAGGGAGGGAGGAGGGAAGTGATAGAGGAAAGGCACAGGGAGAAGTTATAGGTGGCAAACTGAGAAAGAAAGGAATAAAAGGAAAAAATGAAGTGGAATAGAGAGAGGAGGAAGAGGTGAATGTGTCCATCATGATCTGAGGCACCATAACCCACCCACTCCCTTAGGCTATGCAAATAATATTGGGTCGCTTAAATGATTGCTGCTATTTTACACAGGAGCTTGCAGTCTAGGAGAGATGAGACAAAACATCACCCTTAGGTATGTGATATAAGAGAGGAAATGGCTTTATATAATTCAGATTATGAACCTACTTGGAATGGATGTGCATAGTGTTGGCACCTTTCATGGGTATCATAGTAGTTTGCCATGAGTGAGAGGATGAGACAGATTTTGCTCACCTTCTTACTGAAGTCAGTGAGACAAGGTTCTTGATAAAGGCAAACACAACTTAGTCATCTCTGTAGATGGACGTGAGTTTACATAACCCACCAGTGAAATGCAGCCATGCCTTGATACTGGAAGCAACTAGCTCCCCATTATAACTCAGTTGGCAGAAAAGGTAGGTTTGGACAAATGTCCTTACTGGGTAAGGGAGAGAAACTTTACATCATATTATGTCCAAACCTCTAGTGATCTCTTTTATACCTTATACTTACTTATAACATGTGAAGTACCCCCCCACACCCCCCCATGTGATAAAATATATTTATCATACACATGCTACCACCTCACCTGCATCAGGCAGAAAATCTATCTACCCTGGGTTTATACAATTATTTTTCTCTCCATTTATACAGTTGGGCCTATAGTAACTACAACACCCAGCTTTGCAGGCAGGGGTTAAATACCAGTCTAGATAACCTTGCCTTGGAAACTTTGTAAAGAGGGTTTTTTGTTTCCATATGGTGGGTCTTACACAGGAAACAGTAAGCTTGTAGAAAGTTTTTGTTGGTGCTTAACTGAAATGGCCTGCATAACAAATTAATGAGCAGAGATGGTCTGAGACATCCGAGAAAAGCAGAAATGATATTTTTCAGCAGTATATCCACTTTTCAAGCAGTTAGACTTGTAAATAATCAGTACTGTTCATATCTAACTGGTAGTTTGGTAGGCGAAATTATTTCACTGCTCTGAGGTCATCTTGTCAGCTAGCATCTATATCTTGCAGGAGCTCATACAGTCTCCCACTCTGACTACACCAAAGTTGTGAAATAGAGCTGACTTGAAGCATCAAACCAAGCATCTTTGTTTCCTGCCTTTTGCTATTTTGAATGCCACACCTTTAAATGCCTCAAAGCATCTCAAGTTCATTCAAAGAACCTTTAGTGGTCTAACACAACATGGTTGCCTGTGGGGGAAATGATTGGAACGCATCATTTCTAAAACCATTGGAATCTTTGGGCCCAATCCTGCAAGGTGCTTAGTCAGTAGGTGTTGAGGATGTCCATATGTCCCAAGTTTGCACAGTTAATTGAATATTCCAACAGAAGGGATGCCTAGGGATTCCTTTTCCAGCCAAACCGACATGCCCAAACCTTTACCAAACTTCTGCTGGAGGCCACCATGTCTGTCTGAAGCTGCAGGAGAAGGGCACTGGAGACTTCCCTTGCTTTTGAAGTTCTGAAATCCCAGTTTTCACTTGACAAACACATATTTGTGCACAGACACACTCACCTTGAATGCATTGCTGGAAAATCAAGCTGTCAAAGAACTAAGTTTCCTCCTCCTTTGGCCTACAAATATGGCCACTTCCAGCATTCCATTTGGCTTTTAAAGCTGCAAAATGTGTTTTCTCCACTAGAGGGCACATGGGCCATTTCCTCCTGGTGAACACAAAAAAAAAGTGAAACTGAAAGATTTTAAAAATCTGCAGCCTGGAAGAAATGGGGAGCAAACTACGCAAACTGGGGCACCAAGCCTGCTCTCTTGCTCTTTATTGTTACAGCGGATGCTAATGGATGACGTTTCACTTACCTGACAGGTGGATGGAAACTTGGGAGGTTGACACAATGCAGTGTAACTAGGATAAATACCTGTTAAATACCTCATCTTGGAAAAGCCTTATCCTGAGGTTCTAAGGACATTTGAGAGTTAATCTTCCGCCCTCATGATACTGTGAAAATTCTGTAGGCTTAGCTCTCAAGTCACGTGTATTTGTTTGCATATGTGCATGTATATGAATGTGAGTGTGTGAAAAGGACACATAGATGTATACACTGATCGCGGTATCTATATACACACATGGCCAGCCTATAGCTTGCAAAGTAAATTAGACTTAAATGACTCTTTGGAAACAAAATAAATCAAATAGGATAATAGTACCATCTTTTTATCTCATTTGTTCCCATACAATTAGTAGTTTTACTGCCATGTTGTGACAGGTGACTGTGTTTGACCTTTGACGCTTGGTTGGTTGGCTGGTGCTCAAACTAATGAAGACCCTTAATGGATTGGCTTTTGCGAGGCTGTGCGCGGTGGGGTTAAAGAGAAAATGGTGCTGTAGACAGAGTCCAGAGAAGATCCTTCAATTAAACCTGAAGTCTATTAGCAAAGAAATATTGAGGAGGTTGAGAGTTAGCAATGATTTAACCATTGAGTCTTCTGAGTGATTCGTTAGAATTAAAAAAAAGATCTCTTGGATTATTTATTGTTGTGAGCCTGCATGGGCTACTTCTCGGTTGGGCGAGAAGGCAAGAACAGACCTGTTGGTTTGGTGAAGCTTGGAATAAGAGATGTTGTCCCTTGCTTTGCTAGCCCCACCCACACATGCAGCTGATTTCACACTGGAGAAAGGATTGAGGACAAATGAGGCAATAGCAGAAGCAAATGGAGAGTGATGCTGGAGAAGATAAAATTAGATATCTGGGATAAATAAGACTTTTAGGAGCTTAATTGTTTTTCATGATGTAAATAAATTACAATAAAAGAAGGGACAGCCAGCGTGCATGGAGAAGAGGGCAATGTAGAGCTGTAGAAGGGGACAAGTAATGAATACAGGAGGAAGGAGCCTAACGGGGGAGGTGGGGGTGGTATAGGACAGGAAGGGGGTTGGAAAAAAGAAAAAGTGGCACAGAATGAATACAATGAGAAGGAACTGGCATGAGATGAAAGTAAACTCTGATCTGTTGTGACCCCAGCAGCACTGGGCTGGGTCAACAATGAGTTCTGTCTAATCCAGGCTCCTGCCTTTGCCAGCACTACATTCTTCAGAAGAAGGTGCAAGAAGCCCACTGCAGGTAGATTTGGGGTTATCTCCCTCCCATGAAGGTCTTACCCTGTTCCCTAATAACTAGGGGTTGGTTTAACTCAAAACTATGAGGTTTTATGCCCTTCTTTGCTGGCGCTGTCTACTTTAGCTCTGTGATTTATACACCTGTCCAATGTCTTTTTAACTTGTGTTAAACTCTTGGGTTTGGCAACATCCTGTGGCAGTGTGTCCCACAGTCTGATTGCAGACTTGTGAAAGAGGATTTCCCCCAAGCCCTTTGGAATTTGTCACTGTACAGTTCCCTTGGGCATCCCTTGAGTCTTGTGTTTTAAGATGGGTGACAATTGGAGCTTTCTTCTGCCTCTAGTGAGGGGAGAGAGGGTATACAAAGGAGGAAACCACAGTGTCAAGGCTGCTGGGAGGCAATCTCTGGAGGAGGCAGCTGTGCCTTCATGTGTCATCTCATTGCTATCTGCTGCTGTGCGCATCTCGTTAGGATTTGTATTTCCTTAGGGACTGTAGGCCATGAACAAGATCAAAGGAAACATTTGGAAAATGGCTAGACTGGTTTAGGAGCCTAGCCCCATTATGGAAAAGTGACTTAAGAGCCTACATCTCTGGCAAGTCAGTGGGACTTGAGTTTATATTGTGAATGGACAAGGGGAGATGACTTATCCAAGGTCACATGTCAAGTAGGGAATAGAACCCAGGTGGCTTGACGCCCACACTAGTGCCCTTCCTATTCAACCACACTGCCACACTACCTCAGTTTGTCTGTGAGCTGGTTCAGGAGGCAGCCTTGGTTATGCTTGCTTCTGCTAACCACCAGCCTACATGCAGTTTCATGCCTGTGGAGGAGACTGCCTTGCAGAGAACCCATTCTGTTTGGAAACAAGGCCAGAGCGACCGTGCTTGTTCTGTGTTTCTCTTGCCCCCCAATTCTGTTGCTGGGGAGGTTTCCAGGACGTCCAGGTTTTTGATTCTTTACACTTCTGCTTCTGCTGCTTATTTCTGTGAAATCAGAATCCTTGAGTGACACCTCACCAAGGAGAATGGGTTAGATCCTGATCTCAGCTACATTCTGGGTCAGTCTGGATTAACTCTGACTCTGCTACAGTCCATGGAGTTATATCAGTTTTAAGATGTGCTTCTCTAGTAAACTCTGCAGGTGACAGCCCATGTGGAGCTTACTAGGACTGTATCCTGGTGGCAGGGAGGACATAGGAAACAAAAGATCCTAAAGATTTTTCTACTAATAAGGAAAGAAATCACACAGGAAACTTTAAAGGTGGTATAAACTAAACCAGATCCATTTTAACATCCCCGTATACTGCCAGGGGGGTGTAGGCCTGCCATCATGCCACCAGAAACCAGGCCCTAATATCTGCCACCCTAACCCTGTTAGATTTGTTTGACGTATTCCTTGTTCTGTGTTCCCCAGCTACCGGGGATCAAGGGGTGCAAGTTCAGTCTTCACTGGCTGAGGTGGGACAGCACACGGTTTCTAATCATGGCTTAAGGAACCTCCCTCCAACCCTTCCTTTCCTTATTTGTTCCTCAGTGTCATGTTCATCAGTGATGACCTGAGCTGAAGCCCCAGCTTTAAACATCCCTGGCCTTGGCTGTAGGGAGACGGCAGGGTTGGAGATCCAGAGCTGGAAATGGTGTCTATTCCTGGAATTCATCCATGATTTTCAGTCATTCTTCCTTTGTGTATCATTGCCCGTCTCTCTCATTCTCACTCTGTCCCCCACCCCCTGTTGCTTTCTTTTTTACTACATTTATCTTTTACAATTTTCTTCTTTTTCTTCTCTTACTCATCCTTCTTTTCTTATTTCCGTATGTCTTTGCTCCCTATTGTTTCTTCTTTCACACTTGTCTTCCACAGAGTATTCCCTCTCTTTCATTCACAGTCTCTCTCCTTTTTTTCTTTCTCAAATACACACCTCTCTTCTCCCTCTTCTCCCCCCGTTTCCTCCCCCCACTTTGGGGATAATTTAACATGTTACACACTAACTTTCCAGTAATGGCACTCCGGCTTTTTGAAATTCTGCTTCCCTGTTTTATGGCTGGGCTTCTAATGGTTATCTTGCAGCCCTGCCTCTGGCGATCATGTAGGGAATAAATAGAAGCTGACACAGTAATTTACTTAAATCTTCTCCACACTTTTGCAGCATTTTCCTCCAGAGGATACCCCCGAAACAACAATTATTTGAAATGTCACGCGTTCCTGCCCCTAGGCTACCGACAAATGAACATTAAATCTATTAACAACAAAAAAAATTAAATGTTTACTTTTCCGAGAAGGTAAGGAGAAGCTGGAGAGAGGGAGGGATGCCTCCAATAAATTTCTTCTCAATAATAAAGAGGTGTAGTTAATGTTCTCTCTAAGCAGAGCCGGCTCCAAGCCCACATCCCAGGAGAACAGAGATGAGCCACTGGAAAGCTGCTGGAGAGCCTTGCTAGGGCACCAATTATAGCCTCATTTTTCCAGGCCAGGGACCTTGGTTTTAGGTCAGTGTTTGTGCGTGTTAATGAGATGTTAAATCAGTCAGAAGTCATTATGAACTGGGCACTCCCAAGTTACCATCGATCTGTGGAGGAACTCTAGCTACAGTACCTGGCATCTTGCAAGCTTCAGTGGGATGTGTCCTCGCAATGCACCCTGGGATGTGGGGATATCTCATTCCCATTTTATGGAAGAGAAAACAGAGGGCAGGGTGGATTAAGCCATGCACCCACAATCAGTCAGAAAGTGTGGCTGTGTCAGATGGCCAGCTGAGGTCTCCTGAGTCCCAGACTTCTACCTTGCCACCTCACTCAGCTCTGAAGAGCATGTGTCAGCACTACCGCAGCCCTGTTACAACCTATATCAGTCATCGACATGGCCTCTCCAGCCACTTTAGCTGGGCTCCAACAAGACTTGGTGGGACCCACAAAAATCTTTAAAACTGGGCTGAAACTGACCCTCCTGGATCCAGGCACTCAAGGCTCTTACTCCAGTCTAGATCTGTGCCCTAAAAATGAGCCTTGTCTTTGTATGGGACTGAATCCCACTTTGATGTGACTGTCCTGAAGTCCACTGGACTCTAACATTTCAGTGTCGCACAGAGGCACTTTTTAATGGGCAGGTTAGATTGAGCAAAGATACATCAATGTCATCTGTCCTACCTCCTTTGTCCCACAGGCAGGTTGCTCTACTTTTGAACTCAGATTTGATCAAGGTGGAGGCATGGTCAAGTGCTTTGCTGTTTGTGCTGTGACAAGCAGACCACGTTTGTGAGAGGTCTCTGTCTAGAGGTAGTACTGAACTTGTTTCCTTGTGATAGTGCTCCACTCACCAATACTGTTTCTGATGTACAGGGCCAGCCACTGAGGCAAACACCCCATAGGCCTTCTGCTTTTAGGTCCAGCAGAGCTCTGTGTCTGGCCCAAGGGCCAATCCATTGCCTCATTGCCACTCTCCAGGACAAGGGAGTGCTGGTTCAAGATGGATTTTTACTCAGCTACCAGGCCTTTCTTAGTGGGTGATGGCAGCTCTTCTATAGGTAGGCATGGGCATTTCTGAGCAGAGACCTGCTTGCTTCCTATAGCAAACCAGGGTGAAGGCATTCCTAGGCAGGCATGTCCTGCAGTAAGGCATGCATGCAGGTACTTCCTGGCCGCAGGTATTATCCTTCAGGTATCTTCTGGACTGAAGTTCTCATGAGAATAACCTCTAAGGCTAGCACAGTCATAACGGTAGGGCTCGCAAGTCCTGAGTTGGGGCTTTGAGGTCATGCTGTCAACCTGATATTTCACTTCCTCAGTTCCTTTAGAGAATTCCAAGGGAATGTCTTATTTTAACAGTGGGCCACATTGTTATGCCCTTTCTCAAGCTGAAGAGTACCTTTCTCCACTGATAGCCCCACTGAGACACTGGAGTGCTTGCAGCACAGGGAGCTGCATTGTACTGAGTAATGGGCAAGAATCTAGCCTGATAAATTATCTTGAATATTCTCACACCTGCTGCAAGTCCTCCTCTAAGGAAATGGTTCCAGCATCTGGTGCTGCCAAGAGTCTCCCAGACTTCCTTGTCTTCCAGCCCACAGCAAATGGGCCCACTGGGTCTTTCTTACATGTTTCTGTTTATTTTCCAGAGCCATCAAAGAAGTATGTTTTATGGAAGAGGTGTGCCTGTCCCCTGCTCCAGATCCAAGCAAGCATGTGAGAACTAACAACTTACGAAGAGCAAGCCAGACATCTTACACTTTATATGTCTGATCCCTCACATATATAGGCAACCATGGAGCTAGTAATATTCACAGCACATGCGGACATATAGGTCACTTCCATCAAGTGTACAGTGTAGTCAAGAATACACTGTTATGCAGCAGACAAAGCTTCTCTTATTTGTGTAAACTGTCTCTTCAAGTTGTGTACGCATTACATAAAACCTCTGTAGCCACTAGTCTGCTATATGTCCTGTGCACTATCAAGGAAGGCACATAGTCTAACCTAATGGGGTAGACTCTCAGTGGTATAAAACAGTCTAACTTCACTTAAATCACTTTATACCTGCTAAAAATTTGGTCCTTTATGTCTATCTGTCTGTTTTATACTCTAATCTACTTTGCTGCATCCCTAGTCTCACTCCCTTGTAAAAAAAAGGAAAGAATTTAATATTGGCAAAAATACCCTCAAACAGGCTTGCTTGGGAAGTGACACATTTTATAGCCAGGCTGTCTGTTCTGTTTTATGGGCCTGGTTCTGATCTCACTTCCTGATTTACCCCCAAGAAAGAAGTGGGGAATCAGGCACTCTATGCTCAACTTCCTTATGCTGGACCCCCTTTTACACAGCATCTCCTCTCTTTCTTTCAAGTGAAAAGAGGACTCTGGTGCGCCCCATCAAAGTTAAAGGAAGTCTTTAGAAAGGACAGCTCAGCACGCTGGGGTTGTTGAGCCTGTTTAATCTTGTTTCCAGTTCCTGTGTCCCTCTGTCGCTTCCCTGCCAGTTTCTTTGTTGTGGAGTTTCTCATTTCCTTTTGTGTGTGTGTGCAGCAGGTTGCCAGGCTGGCTGGAATGCAGCTAAAGAGACATGTGCTCCAGGCCTCCAGCCCAGGTTCTACATGACCTGCCTCACCCCTCTGCTTCGCCACCCCAAAGTAGAGCAGATTCTGGTGCATTTCTTCAGAGCAACAACTGGGAATCCAGACAGCAAGGTGTATACCTTGCTATTGCCAGTGGCTCATGCTGCCCTACCATGTGACAGTAGGCAGGATGTGCAGGAGCAAAAAGCATGAGGGAAGTGACTGGGGGTTGGTACTGACGTCCTATTGTGGGGGGGAGAGGAATGTAGATTCTCAGTCAGTGCATAAGGGCACATCTCTATTAACTTCAATATAACACTGGGACTTCTGACCACGTGCACCCTCAGTGGAGCTCTGCCAAGCTGCACCAGCTGAGGATTGTTCTCTTGGTTTTATTCTGGGACTTATTTTCCAAATTTGTTTCCAAAAGGGCAGGGGTGCAGCACAGGATACCAAAGGGCAGGATACAGCCCTACGGACTGACTCAGACGTAACAAATGCAGGGATAAATTCAGCTTTGCTTTACTCCACTTTCCACCAATGTAAACCCAGGCACAGGGCTCCTGACCGTAGAAGTGGCATTGTGGGTGGAAGGCAGGATGGCCAACCCTGGAATTCACCGGTTCAGTGTGTCCATGGGTCTGCTGTGGAGACAAACGCATTTGTCTGAAAGACAAGGGAAGTGGTGATGTCTCTTATCTTCCTTTGGGTTTCATGCCTGTGAGCCACAAAAGGCTGGCACTGAGCCACAGGGATGTGCAGGTTACCTTTCCTTGCAGGAGGCTCAGTTGGTGTGGCCTCTTACAGTCCCCCTATTACAGTCCCCCTATTACAGTGGTCAGAGGTATTAGTGGCCTTGGCTGATTGGAGAACTGAGACAGAGCAAGGACACACAATGGCCTCAAAGCCACATAGCAAGTTGGCCATGGAATCAGGATTCATCTACAAGAGAATGCACCTGCCTGCCCTGTTCTCTATCCCAGGCTACTTTTCAGGCTCCAGAACTTCCACGGGCCACCCCAGCCTTCCTCATCTCTCCCCAGGGGAACATCAGTTGGATTTCCTCAGGCCGTTTCTGTGGTTGTGTACCTGACCCTGAAGGCACAACCCCTATATCCCAGGCTTCTTAGAACTTGCTACTCAGCTCAACCATGTGCTGAAAATGAGTGAAGTCCAGAGGTTGCCTTGCCCACAATTACTGGGAAATACTTAAAAACTTAGAAGCTGAGACTTACTGATATGTAATTAGAAGCATACATAGTGTATAACACAGAAATTAGTCAATACATGAATTGCACATGTATCCTTCCTGCATCAGCTGAACTCTCAAAGCCATATCCCAGCATACACTGGGCTCACCAGTTGAGAAGCAGCCTCCTCTTTTGCTTGTTCCAAAGTCTTAGTCAGGCATTTGGAGAGAATTTCCTCAGTAAATGGCAGTTACTGTATAAGAAATAGAGGAGAGCTGGTAGTCCTCTGGTCTGAAAATGTCATTCTGTTTTTGTGCTGAAGCCACTGTTCATCACCAGGCTGAATGATGTCCCCGTTTTGCTTTTTATGCACATCTGCATCAGTCTGTTGCCTTTTATCTTAAACTGTAAAGACTTTGGATTAGGGATCAGCTCTTTGTTCAGCAGCTTACTCACTGACTGGTCCATGGGTCCATGACTGGTTGTCCTGTGGGCTGCTGCAATAGAATTCATTATTATTGTAATCATAATAACATTACACTGAACTGAATCATGATTGGACCTTGGAAATGGTTTTCCCATGCCACATGGAGGATGGGGGGAGACCGTGCTTTATTCAGCCAAGTCAACTTCAGAGCCAGAAGTTCTTCCATGGGAATGCCCTGGACTCATCCCCTGCACCTGTTCTCAAGCGTTTGGTCTCTGTCAGGTTGAAGACTGGCTGCTGGGGATGAACCTGGAGCAGCTTCACTGGCAAATTCCTGGCTCTGGAGTGCTTCAGTGGGCTCAGGTGGGCTGGCTGTGGGTGGGACATGCTCAGCCCCATACTCCCTAAGATCCATGACCAGCAAACCCTTGGAGGCTACTTTCAGACTGTGGAACAAACACTCATAGGAACTCAGAATAATTAAAAACAACCCTACCTTTCACTCCAAGTACAAGCCATCCTTTTTCAACTTGCTCTCTCACATTAATATCACACCATTAACTTATAATGCAATAATTTTAAAACAATATACATAATTACCAATCCACATACAAGAATCAGGTGGAAAGAAGAATCAAATGGAAATAACTACCAGTGACAGATATTTATCATGTTGCTTAATACACATCTTGAAGATGTTCTGATATCATGGTGATGGTAGAAGTCCAATGAGAGTATAACTGCATGCATCTACATGTGCATTAATGTGCTTTTGCTACTGCACGTAAAATTTAGTACCTCTAGTATGAGATGCTACATAAATGTGCATTAGGCTGCCCTAATGTGCAGTATCAAAAGTGCATACCTTTTTAGTGATGCTTAATATGCAGTAGCCTATTTCTACTGTGTATTAGCACTGTTTTTGATGTGCCTCTTTAATGCACAGCAGACTAGACTACTGCACATTAAAATGCACATGTACATGTGCCCAGTGACTGATATTGAGATGTTAAGTGATATTGAAAAGGTTTAGGGCCGGTGAGTCCCTAGACCAATATTGGCTACTACCATTGGGCTAATGTCTTTCAAAATGCTGACATTGTTAAATGAATCTTTATGTTGCCATCAGCTTTCATTCTCTTCTTCATGTGCCATTAAGGTTGCGTTGTTTGCACAGTACCTATGGGGCAATAATTGTTTCATTCTTGCATTGGTATGTATCATAACATTAAGTTGGAAATTTCAAGAAGACATTTGCATTCTTCAGTATAATTTACATTGGGTTTCTACACCAATCTCAATTATACTGATATCAAGAAAAACAGCCCTTTGCCTATCACAAAACAACTCCCACACTGCATAACAAGCATCACGCCGTGTCACTAGGTGGCAAGTAAACAGGTAATAAATACATTAGGCAAATGTTCCAGTATGGTTATGGACAGTTGACACCTAAATCAGTGTAATTTACATCACTAGAGTTTTACATTTGATTCTTTCAGGGGCTGTTCTCCCTGGGATTGGGCAAAGTTGCTTCTGTTTGCATAATATGTCTGCTACTTTTGCCCTGGTATCATATGATTACATTAGAGTAAGTCTCATCTGACTGCACCCTGTCAGTTTGTTAATCTGCAAACCCCAAAGTTCTTGCAAAAAGCTCAGAGGTTTCATCGCACTTTTAGGAAAAGATTGCATGGCACAGAAAGTCCAGTGCATAAAGGGGCAGGGTACAGGGTATAGTTAGTACCTCTCACTTTATAGCCCCTCTGGTTCAGTTCAGCATATCATGTGGGGATGTTTCAAATAAGAAGCTGAAGTGCTTCCTTAGAGAAGTATCCACACATCTCCAGCTCCCAGCCAAGTGTGATACTTAGGTTAGGTAGAGGGTCTGACATTTTAGTGAATCATTTCTATGTAAGACTGGTGAAAATAGTCCATGACTTTTTAAAATAGATTTTTTTAAATTTAAATATTTTGCAGGAAGTTTCTGCTTTCAACTAAAACATTCTTATTTTGTGTCCAGAAACTGATTATTCTTTCTACTTTTTACCAGTTTTCAGGAGGGGAAATGTTAGTTTTTAGATTTTTGTTGTTCTTGTTTGCTTTCATGAGGGAGAGATCTCAGTCACTGCCTCTTTTGCTACTGGCTGCATTCCTCAACACCCTCAGAGATGTATGAGACAGGACTGTCAAGGAGGGTAGGGAGCTGCTCTGAGTCCAGTCTCTGTGCCTTCTTCTTGTCCAAACTGTTCCATAAATAATTAATTAGGCTAGGGAGAGAGAGAGAGATTGAGACAGAGAATCCCAAAGTTTCCTTTTGTCAGACATATCAATTTGGGGGAAAAAACTTCACTTTTTTTTGGTCCTGATTTCAGTTGAAAAAGAATATTTGAATTTTCTGCAGAACAAAACCTGATTTTCAGAGAGCTCTATGCTGAAGCTGGCTGATAAGTTCCTACCATTTCAGAAAGCTAAGGAATATTCCAGCTGATATTTTCCCCTATTGATGTGAATGGAAATTGCATGTCCAAATCCTGTACGTTGTTTAAAAAATCTCAGTGTATGTTGGCCCATTTTGCACTTCTGAATCAGGGGTGGGGGATGCACCTTGTAACTCTCTGTTTCTGGAGCTTCAGAAAGGAGGCTCTACTTCACACACCCAAATCCTTTGTGGCTAGGTATAGACAATCAAAAAGCCCAAGGCTGAATAGATACAGTCTTTGCAGGTTAGTTTAAGATACAGAGATTAAATTGAAACAGAAGTGGATAGACATTTACCTCTGATTCAGGAAATGCAGCCACATGCCTGCAGTGGCTCAGGCCAGAAGGCGGGGGAGGGGGGCATGGCTAGAGCATGGCTCTTTGACTGTTTGTTCACTTTATCTTCCTACTGCCCTGGAGGTCTCTGGGATTTGCAGTCCAGAATTACAGCAGCAGGACTCTGCAGGGTTGCTCATCACTTCCTCTTCCTGCTTCCAGGTGTGTCTGAGATTTATAGTTCACAGTTGCAGCCAGCAGTAAGTTTGAATGGCATGTTTAATCCCCCTCCCTGGCCCAAGACCCCAGTCAGGGTTGCCGGGGGGGGAGGGACAGGGGCAGTCCCTGCCCTGTAGACTGGGCTGCATCCCCAGCGAGGCTTGCCCCCCACCTGCCTTGTCAGCCAGCCCTCACTGCTTCAGCGAGGGAGCAGAGGGGCGGGGCCAGCCCTGCTCTCTGGAGCAGACAGCCCAGCCCAGGGCTGCAAATCATGCTGGGATGCTGGGGGATTCTGATTTAACTTGAACCAGGAAGGGTGAGTAAGTCAAGAGTCACTCCTTCAGTCCTGGGGGACTTATCAGACCTGGGCTTACGAAAGTGGGTTGGAGAAGAAATAAGATGACACACATAATGTATGGACATAGACTAACAGCAGCCTCTGGGGGTTTCATAGATTTCATAGGTTCATAGACATTAGGGCTGGAAGGGACTTCGGAAGATCATCCAAGTCTAGCCCCCCGCCCACAGGGTAGGAAGTCAGCTGGGGTCATAGGATCCCAGCAAGATAAGCATCCAATTTACTCTTGAAGGTGTTCAATGTAGGTGCTTGAACCACCTCTGATGTCAGGCTGTTCCAGACCTTGGGGGCTCCGACAGTAAAGAAATTCTTCCTTATACCCAGCCTGAAACAGTCTTGCAGTAGTTTATAACCGTTTGATCTTGTCATCCCTAGGGGCACTCTGGTGAACAAACGTTCCCCCAGATCCTGGTGGTCACCCCTGATAAACTTATAGGTGGCCATCAGATCACCCCTGAGCCTGAGCTTTTCCAGGCTAAAGAGCCCCATGGCTCTCGACCTATTGTCGTAAGGTCTGTTTTCCTGACCTCTGATCATGCACATGGCTCTTCTCTGGACTCTCTCAAGCTTCTCCACATCCTTTTTGAATTGTGGAGCCCAAAACTGGACGCAGTACTCCAGCTGCGGCCTTACCAAAGCCGAGTGCAAGGGGTGTGCAAGAATGGAATGATTATGCTGTCTCTTTTTTTCCATGCAACACAGAAGAAGCACAATTGCAATCCTCGAGTCTTTCTCTTACTAAGCACTAGGAAGCCCGATTCTTTATTGCGCCACACTTTGTATAGTCATTTACAACAGTGCAAAGACAGGGTAAAATGCTATCAAACAGTATGGCAGCATAATGGGCTCACTCTGCTCTGGTGTAAAGAAGAATGGAGAACTGAGCCTTTAATTGCCCATCCGCTGTGCAAATACCTAACACTCTCATTTGATTCAATAGTTAACCCAGTACTAAGCTGGATGTATATTAATCCTTGCTATGGATGAAGCTGTCAGTGGTTCTCTGTCACACTGGAAAAGCATTTCACTAGGGGTCTATCTGGTTCTGGTATTAGTCAAGATTTGTATTAACAACTTGATGAAGTGTTAATGAAATAAGAATGAGAGTCCACTTATAAAACTCGCTAAAGATAAGCTGGGTGGTGGTTGGGGGGAAGTGTTGCGTGTGTTCTGGATGACAGGAACAGAATTGAAAGTGATCTTGATAATTTGGAGAAATCATCCAAAATCAACTAGATGAAATTCAGTATAGACAAGTGCAAAATGCTATGCTTAGCAAGGAGAAATCAAATACACAAATACCAAATGGAGAATAACTGGCTTGGCAGCAGTATAGAAAAAGAGGATGGGGTGGGGTGAACGTGAGTCAACAATGGGATGCTGTTGCAAGAAATAACAAACTCATTCTGGGATGTATGAAAGGACATGTCACATGCGCAACATAGAAGGTAGTCACTTTTGTCCATTTGGTATTGAGGAGGTCTTGGCTGGAATGCAGTGTCTGGTTTTGTACATCACAATTTAAGAAAGATGTGCCTAAAATGGAGAGAGGCCAGAGGAAATCAATAAGAATAAGAAGGTTATTGATGATTTGCATGCTGGCCTAGAAACCTTCTTGAGTAAGTTTGCAGACAACATGAAAACTGGGAAGGATTGCCAACATGTTGGAAGATGTGAGTGCAATTCAGAAAAATCTCAATAGATTGCAAAGTTGGGCTAGAGCTAACAGGATGAAGTTCGATGAAGACAAATGCAAGGTGCTACACCTCAGGAGGGATAATCAAAAATGCAAATATAAAATGGGTGACACTTGGCTGGATGATAGCACTATGGAAAAAGACTTGGGAGTCGTGGCAGATCACAGACTCAGTATGAGTCTACAGTGTGATGCACAAAAGCCAAAAGCAGTTTTGGGATGCAGCAACAGAAGCATTAGGTGCAAGACACAGGAGGTCATGGTTCCTCTCTACTCAGCACTTCTTAGGCTTCATTTGGAAAAATGCATGCAGTTCTGGGCTCCACAGTTTAAAAAGGACATGCAGAAGTTAGAGAGGGTCCAGAGGTGGCCAACGAAGAGGATCAAGGGCTTGAAAAGCAGGTTGTATGAGGAGAGGCAGAATGAGCTAAGCATGTTCAGCTTGCAGAAAAGGCACTTAAGAGGGAACATAATAGCAGTCTTCAAATACTTGAAGGGTGGCCATAAAGAAGAGGGAAAGCACCTGTTCTTTCTTGCTGGAGGGAGGAGGATGCAGACTAATTGCCTGGAAGTTGCAGCAAAGTAAGTTTAGATTGGATATTTGGAAAAACATCTTCACTGTGAGAATAGTGAGGCAATGGAAGAAGTAGGACATTGGCTGCCATAGTTCCCCTGCTTTAAACCTGTGGCAGGTTAGGGTGTTAGGTCTGTGTTGTGTCAGGGTTGACGGCAGCCTTACGTAGAGTTTAGATTATGGTTTGTATGGAATGGTTTGGATAAGGATGATCCTGCCTCAGGCAGGGGGTTGGACTACATGACCTCTGGAGTTCCCTTCCAGCCCTACTTCTCTATGACTCTGTGTTGGAAACTAGGAATAGTTGATTAAACCAGATTTGTTTAGTCTAGACAGAAGGAGCCTGTAAAGGTGGGAGGGTATATTGAAAGTCTTCCAATATGTTAAAGGGCATTATAAAGGGGACAGCGATCAACTGTTCTACAGGTTCACGGAGGAAAGGACGAGAAGAAATCAGGTTAATTTGCATTTAAGACGCTTCAGGTTAGATATTAGGAAAAACTTTCTAATAAGAGTAGTAAAGCCATGGCACTAGCTACCTAGAGATGCTGTGGAGTCTCCTTGGGTGATGGCATTTAAGAACAGGTTAGATGAGCATCCATCAGAGATGGTCTAAGTACATATGATCCTGCCTCAGAGCCAGAGGTTGGACTAACTGTTTTCTCAAAGTTCCTTCCAGTACATTTCAGTGATTCTGTGCATGCAAGTTAGGGCCCATTATGTTAAGTGGTACCTATGAGAATATGAAAAAGTACAAACGAGAGTCAGAGAAATTTGATTATCACCAATAAATCAAATTATTCTGATTAGATCTGGGTTCTGTTCTGTCTCTGATTTGGTCTGTGAGCTTGGACAAGTCACATCACTTCTCTGTGCCTCAGGGTCCCCACCTCTTATTATTGAGTGTTTTGATTTGGCATGTGTTTGTACAGCAGCTAGCTCCTGGAAGCTGTGTTCCTGCTTGTAACCTTTGGATGGTACCTCAGTACCAATAAGAAACAGGAACAATGAATATGGATACTGACCAGACAGACAGACTGTGAGAAGAGCCAGCTGGGACTTGATTTCTTTTTTCCTGTGAAAGGCTTCCACAGAAGCTTCAAAAATTACATTTTTGTTGAATATTTTACCAAGAATTCTTCTTCACAGATGGAAGGAACTATAGAAGGGAAATTTTATTATAGACCATGTATGGGGATCACAGTTCTCCCTTAGTACCAGCTACCTAGCATTGGACATGTAAGGGCCAGTGTAGCATTGCCCTCCTCTCAATGGGACCGGACAGAAGACCAGTATGGTCCTGCTCTTTTCACCAGTGCAAGCCCCTGCTCTTCTGAACCTCGTCACTCTCATTCTGTGGCAACTCATTGCTGTTCCCCCACTTCTGCTTCCCAGTACACATGGCTTGTTAGCAGCAACTCAGCGTGAGGAAGTCCTCTAGGATGGCTTCTCCAGAGCTATCCGAGGTTGGGTTCAGTGAAGAGTAGCTGCCTGCCAAGATAAGGTGGTCCTGCAAGTGGGTGAATAGGAGCAAGGGGGCAGGTCTTCACCAGCCTCAGCTAGTCAGGGCCAGGTTTGGTGTTCTCATGTATGTGTCTCCTCTGCATCCATGGTGGGCAGACCTCCACCTCACCCTTTCACATCCCCTACCTCAGTGTGCTCACTG